AGCAAATGACGGCTTAGAGGCAACTTTGTCTTATTATGGTGTGGAGACTTTTATTTTTGTTTGTGTTTTGTTTGTGTTTTGGTCTTTTCTTGCATTGTGTGCAGAACACGGAACATGCGGCCGCCTCTTGATTTACGATTGACGCTTCTCCCGGCGGCGGGGCCCCCCCCAGCCCCTCGGTCGTGGCCCGGCCCCACGGGGGGGTTCACCTGCTGCAGGCTCCTCTGGCCAAACCCTGCCGTGCCCGCGGCGGTAGTTCTGGCCCCCCGCCCCTCGTTTTTCTTCCCTCTTGAGCGTCGTCTCGCTGCGCGGCTGCCTCGGGTCCTCATCCCCTTCTGCCCCGGGTTGCGGTTCTTTGGATCCTCTGGTTTCAGACGCGCCGCAGTCTTCTCCGAATTCAGCCATCTCCCGGCTTCATGAACCAATTAACGAAAAACTTTCCTCCAATAGAGTAAATAATTTTTTGCTGCGAGGCCAGAATTGAGCTGGGAACATCCGCAGCCGTGCCGAGCGCTCCCCTCCGCGGCCTCAGCCTCCTGCTTCCCAGGGCCCCCGTCCAGGGCTGGGCACCGGTTCCTCCAGTCCATTTTTTCCTGAAAGGAGGAGTGTCCTGCCGTGACTTGCTGAACCCTGGGAAGTCCCTCAATGGAGAGAGGGGACCCTTGGGTACCAAACTTGAGTTTCTCAGAAAATCCGAGTCCTTTTCCCCTCCCACCGTCATTCCCGAACCAAAGGAACTTTGAAAGCCGGCCAGCCCCGGCGCACGTCCCTTCAACTGGGTGCGGAGCACTGGGCCAGAGTGTCCAGGTTTCTGGACCGGTGCTGGGTCTTTCTGGCATGGATCCCTCTGGGCCAGGATTTTGTACTTAGTTTGTTGGGTTTTTTCCCCCCCCCTATTTGGGTAAGGCCCACGCAGCTGAAGTTGTGGCAATCTCTTCTTTCCCATGAGTTCATCTTGTAATAAATCGCACCAGCCCTGCGGAGGGGGAGGAGAAAATTGAAAGATGTTTATAGAATTAATTCCCCAAAGGAAATTGCATGGGGGAGGGCAAATGGGGGGAAGAGTTGGGAATATTTTTTTTTTTGTTACAGAAGATAGATGTTTTTTTTTTTTTTTCGGAGTTTGTTGGATGGAAAAAAAATCTGCAGAACAACTTCAGTGCTGGGAAACAATTAAATTTCCTTCTCTGCTGCTCTTCTAAGGAAGAGTTCACTCCCTGTTGACGCTGTGTGGGTCGTCTTCTGCCACCCTGGGGTCGGAAGGGACCGTTCCCATCCATGGGATGTGCCACGAATTCCTCGTGGTTACTCCAGCAGTGAACCCAGCAACTGGTTTGACTGGGATGTGTTTTCCAGAAACGTCCCATCTCTTTGAGGGAGAGATGGGGAGAGTCCCCCGTCTCCCTCGGGAGTTTCCCCTAATGCCTGTTTAATTGCGCTCCTCAAAACTTCGTGCCTTCTCCTTGCAGCGTTTGAAGGGCTGGGGAAACGCTCGTGCACAAAAAGGAGAAACAAAAAAAAAAACCTAAAAAACCACACCCCCCCCCAAAAAAAAACCCCACCAAACCCACCAAAAATAAGAGGTTTTGAGCCGCTTTGCAGCATGTGGGTGATGGGGAGCTGCGGCTGGAGCCTCCCCCGGGGTTTTGCCGGTGCTGGGGGGGGCCCGCGGGGG